TCTTCTATTACCTCCTTAAGCCACAACTGTTAGAGCTCCCAATTACTAAAATAATTTAGATACCATGCCGTATGGATCTAAAACACATTTACAGGGAGTAATTTCTTTATTGAGTAATTTGTTTCTCCCCCAAATAGCCAGGAGCACACTTGGACTACTAATCACAGTAACAAAAAGTAAAGCCTAAAAGTCACCGCTTGACTGTAGTGTTTCAGACAACACTGCTCATTCTGTGTCTCCAGAGGTTGCAGTCCTGGTCTTTGAACATCTGGAAGCTTTTCCATTATAGAAGAATATGCTATTGATTTATCCTTGTCTTATATTTGAAAATATGCTTTGTTCTCCAGAATCTTCCCTAAGAAGACTTGGCTTATGATTTAAGATCAAAGCATAACATGCGACCTTGGTGGCAGGCTGGGAGGAAATGTGGACATTTGAGGAAAAAAGAACACTGGTGTCCTTAATTCTCGCCTTGGCATTGCTCTCTGCCACTTAACCCCTCTGAGTCTCATTTCTCTCTCTTCCAAATGCAGGAGAGAAATCAAATGATCTTCAGGTTATTCCCAAGATCGTGGCTTCTGTTTTCTCTGTTGAGTGTAATAATTTTCCTTAGGAGTTTATATTTCTTGTGAGTACTACTGAGGCAACTATAGCATGTAACCATAAAAACCAGGTCTGGGGCTTTGGGGTTGTGACTTCACCAGAAGTCATTTTCGGTGACTGGGAATTCCATAGTTTAAAGTATAGATATCCAGTGCTGCTAACATACGAGGCACAAAGAGTTAAAACCACGACTGTTCTACAAATATAAAATGAACATATGTCCACAGTTTTAATTCAACTCATTAATGAGATTTCCATTCAAAGAACATTTGAAGAATTGGGTATTTACAGTCAATTTAATAAAGGAATGCTAGAATAAGATGCTAGACTAGATACAAAAATGGTAATACCCTAAGAGGCAGTAAGCCACAAACTTTGAGATTCTTTTCTACCAGAGAGGATTCTACAAATTAACAAAGTCTTGGGGCTCTAATCAAATAGTAGAATTTAAATAATTTAATAATCCTTCAAAAATAAATAATCATTCAATGAGCCCATTAAACAATGACATAAAAAGATTTCACTTTATTGGATAATTTCTTTTGGAGGCGTTTACACTGAAGACCATTGAATGTGTAATAAAAGCCTGAGGGCTCCAAATATACTTTCTCTGATACACCTCTTTCTCTGATCTCTCCAACTGCTGGATTATTGGGCAGATTGTTACCTCTCAATGGTAGTCTAGGGGAAAAGCAGTTCAGAAATCATACATAAATTAGGGAAAACTATTTGTAAAATAAGCTTCATAGTCAACATTGGCCTAACTTATTTTCCTATTGGTAAATATAATTCATATTAAAATCATTTCTATTAACTTTCTAGGCAGATTTATTCTTTGAGTGAAGAGTAGGAAGGAGCAACAGTAGCACAGGAAGTTTATATCCATGTAAGTTTAAAGCCGGCAACAAATAAGCCAAGGGTCTAACAGGAATTTACTAGACTTCTTAGAATTTTGTCACTGTCATCTTAGAAAGCTCTTAGCCCTAGAATACTGCCTCTATAATTCTCTGTTCTCTTGAAATGTCACAAGGAGGCCACCTCAAATAAAGATTTACTTAATAGTATTTAATTCAAGGAGTAATTTTTTAATTTTCATAGTTTTTCCATCGTTAAAAAAAAAATTTTTTTTAAATCAAAGTGTACTCTTAGACAAAGAAAGCCACAGTAAGATTTGAATTTAAAGTGGCCGCTCATGGTGATAACTTAAAATGGGTCAGTGATTATTACCTTTTTAGGAAGGTCAAAAAGATTTTGACCCTCTCTTCAGAAAGAGACATTGAGCATATAAGAGATATAATCCCGTTTTGTGCTTAATTTGATTTGGGGTAACTCACAGACCCCTGCATCTCATCCTGGATCCTGATCTATAATTTGCAACTAAGAAACACAAGGAGCCACCTACAAGGCCATCAGTGAACCACGTGGTCCTCACAGCTTGGCTCCCAAGCCTCTCCTGACAGCCGACTCTGTAAGTCAGCTAACTTTCAGTGCAGGCAGTGATAGGTTGTTTTCTTTGGAACTGAAGCAGAAATGCCCCTCACAGTGGAAAACCTGAGCCCAATTATCTGGGAATAACACGGTCCTCTATGGTCCTGCTGTAGCGACAATTCACTAGCAACTCAAAGGTAGATTAAAAAGTCATGGGTTTCAGAACACATTCTTATCCTGCCCCTTATAAGTCAAGTGGTGTTAAGAAAAGGTATTTAACTTCACTAAGGCTCAAGTTTAATTGAAAAATCAGGATGATTAAGGGGTAGGGCCCTGAGCAAAGACATCTGGAGCCATACCCCTGACCTAATCAGCTAAGTATTACAGAATAAGGGAACAGATCCCGGGTGAGGATAATACATACCCAGTAAAACAAATGCAAGGTTTTATAGGCTTTGTTCTGTTTGTTTTTAAAAGTTTGGTAGAGTGTTTTTCTTCTTTTTACTCTACTCCAAACCTTGGGTCATAATGATATATAAAGACTATAACTTTGTTGCATGCAATTATTTAGTGATCTATAGAGGAAAGCAGAGTTTTAAAGTTGCTATTAATGCTTCCTTTGTGTCTCAACTTATCAGTTCTTTGAGTTTGAGGTTATTTGCGTACATTTTAAATAAGCATCTAATTTACTGTTAGATTTGAGTTAATGTTTTGAATTAAACTTCATCACACAGTCATATTTATTCAACAACAAATATTTATGGAGGGAGGTCATACTATGTGCCAAGAAACAGGGCAACAAATAAAAGCAGACAAATGCCCTTCTTTCATGGGACATATGTTAAACCTGTATGGGGGCTGGGGAGAACAGCAAACAAATAAGAAATCAAGATCATAAAAAATTCTAAGGAGAAAATTAGAATTAAAGGCCAGTAGTGATGGGTATGAGAAAGCCATTTTAAATAAGTTCATCAGCAGAGGTTTTCTTAATAAAGTAACATTTGAGACAGACTCTGAAGGGCATGGGAGAAGCAAGATGTGTGGAAGAAAGTGCAGACACCACGCTCTCGTGTGGGAAGCGCGCTGGCTTTTTCTGTGATGGGCCAAGTGTGCCTGGAAAGGCAAGGCAGAGGGGAGTGAGTGATGCGAGCTCAGAAACAACATAGGAGCTGCGTCATGTGGGGTCTTGGAGGTCACAGAGTGTCGTATCAAAATGATCCCCTCTGGGGTTTGGGCTCAATAACATGTTTGTCACAAAGGAATGTAACACCAGAAAGTATTGTGACCTCTTGGCAGGCAAGTCTGGTTCAGAAGAGGTCAGAAAAGCTGCCTCAGAGGCAAAACATTCAGTCTAGTCCAATTCCATTGGACTAATTAATTAATTGGTAATCTAATTAACCTGAAGGATTTGGGGCACTTATTAAAGGAATTTTGAAACTCTTCTCAGAGGATTGCAGGAAACCTTGGGGATAGGCTACCAAACTTGATACTATACATGGATAAGCTTTTGGGCCATGAAAGATTTACTGTACACCCAGTGGTTGTATATGGTGACATCACATGTGGGACATGAGGCACAGATATTCCACAGCCTGAGGAAAGTATAAATAGAAATATGAGGGTTGAGGTGTATTATTCAGAGATTTTTTTCCTACTACAAATAACAGACACCAAAAAGCTAGCTTAAGAAAAGACAGAGATAATTCATTATAAAAGATATGGAGTAATTAGCAGAATATAAGGGTAGGAAGGCAGTCATGCCTTAGGGTTGATTCAAGACCAGAAAATTGCAAAGACTCTCCATCTCACAGCTCTGCATTTCCCTACCCAGCTGCTTCATTCTTAGCTCCCTCTGCACACAGAAGAGAATCTCACGGGCCAAGCTGGAATCTGGTGTTTACTCTTGGTCCAATCAGCTATATCCAGGGAAATGAGGTCAAGTAGTATCAACAAGCATGGCTGTCAGAGCCGCTACCTAGGAGCCACTCTCAGAGAAGGTAGAGTGTTGGACAGACAGCCCAAGTATCCTCTGCCACATCCACATGTGATTAGATCACCCACCTATTTATTTTACTTGTAGACAACTTTGAGAAGTATTCCTGAAAAAATTCCTACCCCAATTCAAGGGGGTGTTTTCAGGGGATGAAAAATGATGAGGAAGGCAAAAAAAAAAAAGGTAAAGAAAAATAACAGAATGAATACATTTTTCTCTTGAATTATGTTTTTAATGAGAAGATTTCTCCATCATGTCAGCATGATACAACAGAAAGAAAAATGGACTAGAGTCAGAGAATCTGATTTAAATTTTTACATTATCAGTTAATAGTCATGGGAATATAAGCAATTCATTCTGGATCTCAGATAAATGACACAGGTTGAACTAGCTTCTTTTTAAGGTAACTTCCAGATACCCTTTGACTCTGATATGGTATTTCCCTTTGGTGGCAAATAATTCTAGGGATTTGTTGTCAGTTCATTGAAGACACAGAGCAAAAATATGAAGGCCAAGAGCAGGCTATAGAATCCTACACATCTGAGTGTGATCTTGCCCCTGCCACTGTTTTGGAGTTGGATCAGTAAGTTAGTTACTAAATCCAAGTTTGCTCATGGGTAAAATGCAGGTAAATGCTGATTACTGTAATGAATTGTACCCACTGAATAAGAACATGAATGTAGAGCACCTGGCTTACTGGGAGTGTTTAGTTCTGGTCATTGTTATCCACCGGTGAAAGTCCCTCAACTCGTTCGTATCCTACGAGGTGACTTAGAATAAATGTGCGGGTAAGTGAAAATTAAACTCCAATGCTCTTTAGAGTTCTCTAATGGCAGCAGCTAGTGAATATGAGATGAGAGCCCTGGAAATTGCAGGGGTGGGGGTATCACACGTAAATGACACCTCCCTGTCGTTCGCAAACATGATCATCTCTGATCGCCTTGTAAACTGCGGCTTTCCGTGTCCCCGGGGGCAGGTGTGAGAGCGCGGAGCTGGATAATAAGATCCTCGGTCTGATCGAAAGGAACACTTCCGATCCCAGAGGGGTTAGCCCGGCCGCCACGTCGAGTCATAGAAATCCCTGTTCTGTGAAGGTAAGGAAAGCCTTCTGCTGCTTCTCAATACACCCTTCAGCAGCGTGGTCACCGAGGGGAACACACCAGGACAGTCCCCGGACCGTTTCCAGTAAGGCACTTCCTTGACGGCTGAGAGGACAAAGTGAACCCGTGCAAACTTCTCTTACACAGTCACTTCCTGTTACTAAAAAAAACCCTCCACAGAAGCTCCTTCCAGTTTAAAGTGTGAAATCAGGGGACCGTCATTACAGGAAAGGGAGGAGGAGCTCACGCCATTAGAAAGCGTGCTTAATGCAGCAATAGCTCTTCTATTGGGAGGAGCTAACCTAATGCATATAAACTCACTTACACTGGGTTACTACAATGCGCACAATTCATCCCTTTTTTTTTTTTTAAGGAAAAAAACACGATTTTCCTGATTAGATAAGTTCTTTGAATTTTCTCTTGTTTCAGGATATTTATCTATGGTGCTTTATGTAACAAATAGAATTCAAGCGTAACCTCAAGATAGGAATTTTGCAGATACCTTTCTAGAAATAAACCATAAATGACATCACAAGGTCTTAATCTCTGCAGTCCTTCCAGTTAGAAACCGTCTCTAATGATCATTTCAAAATAAATCTAATGTAAGTAAATTAGAGAATGTGGCTGACATTAAAAATATTTACATAACTTCTGCTTTGGTTTCTTAGTTCTAAAATGATCCATGATGGTTGTGGAAAAGCTACACTAAGCATAGAGAAAACTATAGAAATCATGTATAGAGAGATTTATTGTAGAGCTAATGAAGCTTGAATTCCCCTAAACAAATATTTTCTTTCATAACTAATTTGTATTGACAGATTTGTGTCTTTTTCCCTTAAAGAGATTCTGGTAGTATAAGCCTCAGGCCTCACCAAACATGGATCAGCCTCTGAAATCCCCTCCACGCCCACTGCTCCTAGAGAGCCTCGCTTAGCATTGAGATCTGTGTGTCTCTTCTGGCCCTCTCTCTCTCTGACACACACACACTCACATTCACACTCTCTGACACACACACTCACACACACACTCACATTCACACTCTGACACACTCACACACACACTCACATTCACACTCTGACACACACACTCACATTCACACTCTCTGACACACAGTTTCACTGACACACACACTCACATTCACACTCTGGCACACACATTCACACACACACTCGCATTCACACTCTGACACACACTCACATTCACACTGACACACACACACTCACATTCACACTGACACACACACATTCACACTCACACACACTCACATTCACACTCACACACACACTCTCTGACACGCACACACTCACATTCACACTCTGACACACAGTTTCACTGACACACACACTCACATTCACACTCTGGCACACACATTCACACACACACACTCTCGCATTCACACTCTGACATACTCACATTCACACTCTGACACACACTCACATTCACACTGACACACACACACTCACATTCATACTCACACACACACTCACATTCACACTCACACACACTCACACTCTCTGACACGCACACACTCACATTCACACTCTCTGACACACACACTTTCACACACACACTCACATTCACACTCTGACACACACACATTCACACTCTGACACAGTTTCACTCTGACACACACACACACTCACATTCACACTGACACACACATTCACACACACACTCTCGCATTCACACTCTGACACACACTCACACACACTCACATTCACACTCTGACACACAGTTTCACTGACACACACACACTCACATTCACACTCTGGCACACACATTCACACACATACACTCTCGCATTCACACTCTGACATACATTCACACTCTGACACACACACATTCACACTGACACACACACACTCACATTCACACTCACACACACACTCACATTCACACTCACACACACACTCTCTGACACGCACACACTCACATTCACACTGACACACACATTCACACACTCGCATTCACACTCTGACACACACACTCACACACTCACATTCACACTCTGACACACAGTTTCACTCTGACACACACACACTCACATTCACACTGACACACACACACTCACATTCACACTCACACACACTCACACTCTCTGACACACACATTCACACTCTGACTCACACTCTCTGACACGCCCACACTCACATTCACACTCTGACACACACACATTCACACTCACACACACACTCACATTCACACTCTGACACACACACATTCACACTCTGACACACACACTCACATTCACAGTCTCTGACACACACACACACACACACACACAGTCACTTTTTTCACTTAGTAATTTGTTGTGGATCCTTCTGTACCTCTTTCATTCACTTAATGAACAAATAGTATTGTGTCCATTCTTTCCATTTCTCCCTGAAAAAGAAGCATTTGTTTTCAAAGTGAGAAATGACTTTCTGCTAATGATGAGGGACCAAAAAGGCTTTTCTCTCCATTTCCTTCCTTCTCTTTTCATCCCCACCCCCACTCTCATACACATACCTCTAACTCCCAGTTAAGACTTTCTTCCTTCATGGAAATGTGTGCTGTTTTGTAGTGGCCATCTAGTTTAACCCCCAAAAGAAATTAGTGATGACAATTTGAATCCCCTCCAGTAGCCTGATCCTCATACTCTCTGCTTATCAGCTCCTAAGACTTCTTTGCTCGTGACCGACTTCCCTGCCCACTCTGCTCACTTGTTTTCCGGATTCCTCCTTGCATGTGAGAACCTCACAGCCTATTGCCAGCCTCTTGGTAATTAGTTCCCGCTCTTCTGGGGACTTAACTGGAACTTCTCTATCTCTTTAAGATATTGTTTCCCCTATCTCTCTTTAAGATATTGATGAAATTTGCTCATCTTCCTATACATTTCCAGGCGAAGGAGAGCAGGCATCTGGCTGATTTTTGTTTTGTTTTGTTTGCTTTGTGAAATGTAAGGGAAAGACATCTACAGAGAATGAGAGGGTAAAGGTGAAGTCCAGTGGTTAAAACAAGGGGAGATACCCAGGTGGCTCAGAGGTAGAGGATCTGCCTGCAATCAGGAGACCTGGGTTCGATACCTCAGGTGGGAAGATCCATTGGAGAAGGAAACGGCAACCCACTCCAGTATTCTTGCATGGAAAAATTACATGAGCAGAGGAGCCTGGCAGGCTACAGTCCATGGGGTCCCAAAGAGTCAGATCCAACTGAGTGACTGAGCACACACATATGAAATGTCCACTGAGAGAGGCGAGAGAGGGGTGCAAAGCTGAGCATCAATGAGGACCACTTTCTAAGACCAGTCACTAATGCCTGTTTGAGATCCTGAATCTTCAGTCTCTCCATCACTTCTTACCAGCTTAATTCTCCTCAACTTTTAAATATTGAGACTTCATACCACTGTATGGGAAATGTTCTTTGTTCACCATTAAGTATGATTCTATTTTATTTATTAACTTTTACTGACATGCACTTGATTTACAATGTTGTGTTAGTCTCAGGTGTCCAGCAAAGCTACATGTCTATATTCTTTTCAGGTTCTTTTCCATTATAGGTCATTACAAGATACTGAATATAGTTCCATGTGCCATAATGTAGATCCTTCTTATTTAGCTATTTTATATATAGCATTGTGTATCTATTAATCCCAAACTCCTAATTAATCCCTCCCTTCCTCCCTTCACATTATGAGCAATGTTCTAATTCACTCTTTCACATCCTAGCCAGTGTTGATCATGACATCCAAGTTTTTCCAACCACTTGTCATGCCACTCACAAACTCTACCTTGATAAATCCATGGCCATTTTGCATCTGAGTTTTCACTTGTCCTTTCATTTGCACTTAATACTATTCACTAACTTTCTTAAATGTCTTACTTCATTGACATCCATAAATGTGTCCTTCAACACCCTGCTTTTCCCTCTGCTCTTTTCGTTTCACTCGCCATCACTGTTCTCTCTCACATCACCTGTCTGAGTTACACTAGAGTCACCCAGGGATCTGTACGTAGTGGTTGGCTCACTAAACTTCAGAACATATGCTGATGACTTCCAACACATACACTTACTAAACATGTAGTTCTTTTCCAGATTCATATCAACTTCACTCAGCATGTTCAAAGATGCTCTCAGTATCTTTCCTGTTAAAGCTGTTTGTTGTTTCTCCACTCTCCATTTCCCACTTCCCAAGATGCATCCATGTCCCACCACCCTGCCATCCTTTACCAGACCACGCAGTTTCACGTGCTGTGCTTTTTCACATGCTGTTTATTCTTCATGGAAACCCTTGCCTCCTTGCCCCTTGAATGAACTGTGTTTCAAACTGTGTTTTCGTGTGAATTACTGTGAAACCATATTACCTCCCTCTTCAGTCTCACAGAGTTCTCTGGTCCCCTTTTCCACTGTCCTGAATAAATACCTTCTTTAAACTTCATTCATAGGCTTTATCACCTTGATTTGGTAATCATTTATGTATAGATGTGTCTTCCCTACTAGTCACAGACTTCCTAAGGATGGAGTGTAAAGTGTCACATGAATGTGTCTAAAGTCTCATAACATAGGTTCTTCTAGAAGGTACCCATGTTATGCAACATGTTTGGTTTCATGAACTATGAGAAAAGTATAATCACCTTATCTCTAAGAATCCTTCACAAATAATCTCAAAGTCTACAGGAGGGATATTGAATATACACTTAAAAGCTCAGCTTCTTATCTTAAAGCTTTTGACTGGCAGTGATTGTCAGATGCCCACCTATCACTGCTGCTTCGAGATGTTAGCTATACCACTCCCAGGGCACTTTGTGGTACCACTCATGGCGACAAGTAAGCCCAATATTTGGATGTGTTCTCCAGAGCCCAAACAGAGCTAAACACTATGGTTCTCTCCATTTCAATGGAAAGACCTTTCTTTCCCAACTTTAGCTACACGGGCCCCCAGTGCTACTTTACACATCCAGTGTTTGCCAGAAATATGTGTGATCATCTATTTGATTTTCATCCTTCTGCAAATG